ATAACTTTATTTCTGAAAATTCTCACCAAAATGCTTTTGTACGCTTGTAAACAATATAATGAGCTGTTACTGGAAAAATTTTAACAGCTGTCGGACGAGTGGCTTGGAATGACAGCAGTCTGAAGTTGGTTGCAGTTTTTTCGTTTATGCAAATTATACCCATTTCTAAATCGATCTCAATAAAATTTGGGTAGCGTTCTTTTTGAGCTGTATTTGATATCGGGTACCGAATCAGTTGAAGCAATATATATATTGAAGCTGTGGCCATATCTGAACCGATTTTTACCATTTTTCCACACCTGCTTATAGGCTGAATTTGGTTGCATTTGCTAAAAATCAAACCTGAAATCAAACCAAATCTGGACCAATCTCGATTAAGTTTGCAAACCGATTTCTGAGCTATATCTGATATCTGGCACAAAATATCATTGCGATGGACTGCATATTACGAATGTCAGGAACTTAAACACCGAATCGGATGATAAATTTATATGAGGGCTTTAGCTATATATAAGGACCTTTCCTACAAGGCTAATATCGTAGGAAATGCAAATAGAAATTCGGAGATACCGATATTAAGGGGCCATATATAAATCGACTTTTTTGGATTTGAAAAAAATTGGCCCTCTTTAAATTATATATTAAATTCGCAATCTTCGGGCGAATTTGTAATTATTTAACTTTTAAAAAATGGCCCTTATAATCTCATAAATGCAAATTTCCTCCTCAACATTTTAATCATTTCAATCTTCTACTCACCTCCGTAAATGCCCACTCTTTTCGTATTCCAATACTTGGTGACAACTGGTGATGATAACGAGGCCTATCAATGGCCTTCTTTATGTCTTCATTCATCCACAAAACGCCAGCCATAACCTCAACAAGAGCTGAGATAATTTTCGAACCGCCAGCAGCACTCACAACCATTTTTACATCGCCCTCACGATCGGCCAAATCATTGGAGACATTGAGGAGAGCGGACGCTTTGGGCATCATAAAATGGTTTGGAGACGGTGGCAGGGCAAAGAGATTACTTTTGCCGGGCAGAGAGAAGTCGTTCATGGCGCTATTGAAAATGATGCCGGTGCGTTTGCCAGCCAAACCGGAACCAAAGCTGCAAAGGAAAAAGAAAATTTGAATTAAGTCCTTTAATGTCGGTTCTTTATACTCACTATCATTAACTGAGCTTTGACGGAAACGGCATCGCCATTGGGAGCAATAACTACCAAGGCACTGGTGCCCACATCATCCTCGCCTGTAAATTGGGCGCCATATTCTGCAATGCTTTCCAAAACATGGCTATCATTGATTTTATTTCTCAATTCATTGCCAGTCTCTGGATTTGTCAAGCGGCTGACCAACTAGAATAGATTACGGATTTTAATTATAAAGAAGTGTATTAAAGACCTTCATACTTACATCTCTGACATCATTGAATCTGGCATCTCCCAATTCCCAGCGTTTGGCAAAACCAAATTTCATAGCCTCGGTGATACGATGAATTGTCACGGCCTCATGTTTGGTATCCTTAATATCAATGCTGGAGAAATTGTAGCCCTCCAAAATACTTAAAATATTGGCCACAACAGTACCACTACTAATCGGAGGATTGGCATAGAGAATATCATTGCCCAACTGCATGGTTACCGAACTAACCAAATCGGCTCTGTAGATTTCCAAATCGGCAAAATCAACCAAACTGCCCAATCGCGTAAATCCTCGGCCACCAAGCGAGCCAAAGTGCCGTTGTAGAAATCATAGGGTCCATTTTCGGCCAATAGTTTGTAGGTATTGCATAGCTCCTCGGCGGGCTTGATATGGGTGCCAATTGGATGGATGGTATTGGTGGTTTCATTGTAAAACATTTTCCTAAAATCGAAAAAGTTAAAAAATCTTCTTTCCTATGAAAGACATATCACAAACTCACTTCAAAATCGTATTGTTCCGCATATGCTTATCCTTGTAGGCCAAGGCATTGTACTGATGTTTGGTGACATAGAAACCATCTTTACAGATTTGAAGCGAAGGCTCAACCAATTTTTTCCATGGCAATTTGCCAAACTTCTCGTGGGCCCTATGATAGCCCATCAACTCACCGGGCACCGCAATGGACAGGGGACCATGCAACAGATCATGATTATCCACATTATTGAACTTATCTTCGGTAACAGCAAATGGAGCCACTTCTCGACCATCCACGGAATAGGCCTGTTGTCTTCCTTGATGTAAACATTCATCAGCATACCACCGCCATGCCCATGCTGTGCATGGTCACAATGCCGTTACATAGGAGAGCAGCAATTGCGGAATCAACGGCACTGCCTCCCTCTTTAAGAATGTTGCTAGAATTAGAGGAAGATTTAGTGGAAATATATCAACAACAATAAAATAAGAACACATAAAGAAGTCCCTCTTGGTCTTCTGTCCGACAAAGATTTCTTGCTCTTCTCCGCAATGGGAAGACCACAAGGTCTTCTGAATGAAACGATGAAAAGACCTCCAGGTCATCTGTGAGAAGACCTCATCTGTGAGAAGACCTCCAGGTTATCTGTGAAAATACCTCCAGGTCTTCTATAAGAAGACCACAAGGTCTTCAATGAAAATACCACAAGGTCTTCTATGAGAAGACCACAAGGTCTTCTACGAGAAGACCACAAGGTTTTCTACGAGAAGACCATAAGGTCTTCTATGAGAAGACCTCCAGTCTTCGATGAGAAAACCTCCAGGTCATCTGTGAGAAGCCCTCCAGGTCTTCGATGAGAAGACCTCTAGGACTTCTATGAGAAGACCTCAAGGTTTTCTTTGAGAAGACCACCAAGGCCCGGAGGTCTTCTATGAGAAGTCATCCAGGTGTGACAGAAGACCTAATGGTCTTCTTTGAGAAGACTTCAAGGACTTCTATGAGAGGACCTCCAGGTCTTATATCAGAATACCTCTAGGTTTTCTATGAGAAGACCTATAGGTATTCTATGAGAAGACCTCCAGGTCTTCTATGAGGAGACCTCCAGGTTTTCTTTGAGACGACCACCAAGGCCTGTAGGTCTTCTATGAGAAGTCATCCAGGTGTAACAGAAGACCTAAAGGTTTTCTTTGAGAAGACTTCAAGGACTTCTATGAGAGGACCTCCAGGTCTTATATCAGAATACCTCTAGGTTTTCTATGAGAAGACCTCCAGGTATTCTATGAGAAGACCTCCAGGTATTCTATGAGAAGACCTCCAGGTATTCTATGAGAAGACCTCCAGGTATTCTATGAGAAGACCTCCAGGTATTCTATGAGAAGACCTCCAGGTATTCTATGAGAAGACCTCCAGGTATTCTATGAGAAGACCTCCAGGTCTTCTATGAGAAGACCTCAAGGTCTTCTATGAGAAGATCTCAAGGTCTTCTATGAGAAGAACTCCAGATCTTCTATGAGAAGAACTCCAGATCTTCTATGAGAAGAACTCCAGATCTTCTCTGAGAAGAACTCCAGGTGTTCAATGAGGAAACCTCCAGGTCTTGAATGAGAAAACCACCTACTGGTCTTCGATGAGAAGACCTCTAGGACTTCTATGAGAAGACCTCAAGGTTTTCTTTGAGAAGACCACCAAGGCCTGTAGGTCTTCTATGAGAAGTCATCCAGGTGTAACAGAAGACCTAAAGGTTTCTTTGAGAAGACTTCAAGGACTTCTATGAGAAGACCTCCAGGACTTCTATGAGAAGACCTCCAGATCTTCTATAAGAAGATCTCCAGGTCTTCTATGAGAAGTCCTCCAGGTCTTCTATGAGAAGTCCTCCAGGTCTTCTATGAGAAGTCCTCCAGGTCTTCTATGAGAAGACCTCAAGGTCTTCTATGAGAAGACCTCAAGGTCTTCTATGAGAAGAACTCAGATCTTCTATGAGAAGAACTCCAGATCTTCTATGAGAAGAACTCCAGATCTTCTCTGAGAAGAACTCCAGGTGTTCAATGAGGAAACCTCCAGGTCTTGAATGAGAAAACCACCTACTGGTCTTCGATGAGAAGACCTCTAGGACTTCTATGAGAAGACCTCAAGGTTTTCTTTGAGAAGACCACCAAGGCCTGTAGGTCTTCTATGAGAAGTCATCCAGGTGTAACAGAAGACCTAAAGGTTTTCTTTGAGAAGACTTCAAGGACTTCTATGAGAAGACCTCCAGGACTTCTATGAGAAGACCTCCAGATCTTCTATAAGAAGATCTCCAGGTCTTCTATGAGAAGTCCTCCAGGTCTTCTATGAGAAGTCCTCCAGGTCTTCTATGAGAAGTCCTCCAGGTCTTCTATGAGAAGACCTCAAGGTCTTCTATGAGAAGACCTCAAGGTCTTCTATGAGAAGAACTCCAGATCTTCTATGAGAAGAACTCCAGATCTTCTATGAGAAGAACTCCAGATCTTCTCTGAGAAGAACTCCAGGTGTTCAATGAGGAAACCTCCAGGTCTTGAATGAGAAAACCACCTACTGGTCTTCTATGAGAAGACCTACTGGTCTTCTATGAGAAAACCTGCTGGACCTATGAGAAGACCTCATTGTTGCAATTAAGGTTATTTCAATACTCGAAGATAGCCATGAAATTCCTTAATCTAATTAAAAATCACCACAACAATTGACTCGAATCCAAGTCATTGTCTTGGACGATTAAATTACCCAACATTTTGCTCTACTGGTTATCAGCTGTATTCACCAACTCACCTGCCAATTTGACTGCAAACGGGTTTATCTGAACACACGGCTGCCTTTTCATAAACGCCCAACTTTGAAGTGAAATTCTTCACATCAATTGGTTCATCCTTGAGCAGGGAATTGTCTTTCACTTCAGTCATCATCACCTTGCCGTCGTCAGCGCCATCATCAGCATCTTTATCATCGTTTGCAGCAGCTTTCTCCACTGCTGGCGAGGCTTCAGTTGTAGTACCACTTGTAACGCTGGCACCTGTTGTTGGCTGTTGTGAGGCGGGTGGCAACGCTGTTGTTGTGGCACCTGCGCCCACACCCAATATGGAGGCTGACAATGTTTGATTGTTGCTGCTGCTGTCGCTGCCGTTACTGCTGCTGCTGTTGCTGTTGAAAGGACTTGTTGATGTTGATGCTACTGCGGGGCCATTATTATTGCTATTATCATCTGACAAAAGAGAAGAGTTAAAGGTTGTGGGTAAACTTAGTAGAGGACTAGCTGAGGGTGGAATTGGGGGATTGATGTCAATATCTCTCGCATTTGTTGTTGATGTACTTGTTGTAGTAGTTATGAGAGGAGTGATGGGGGAGGTGGTGGTGGGGGTAGTGCTATCTGTAAGTGTGGCGCTTAAGTTTGCTGTGGTTTGGATTGTGTTGGTGCTTTCAATTGTGGAAGTAGAAGAAGACAACGTTTGGGGCAGGTTTGGATAATTGGTGGGATTGCTTTGGCCCAAACTCGTTGTGTTTGGGGGTGGTGTCTCAGATGTAGTAGTTGTAGTAGTTCTTGTAGTTGATGTTGTTTCTGGTGTTGTTGTTGTATTTGTTTTTGTTATTGATGCTGCTGTTGGCATTGTTCCCGACTTTGGCCATTCTATGTAAACGATGTTCGAGGGGAGCAGTGGGGACGGAGAGCAAAGAGCAAAAAAGGGAGAGCAGGAAATGCAAAAGAAACACAAACACAAAGCAGACAGGGAGGATAACGCCGCCAGCAAAAATATATAGCAAGCGCAAGTTAAACCAAAATGTTGTCAACACAAACGAGAAAGAAAAAACCAAATTGGAGCAACAAAAGAATGAAAACACAACACAGAATAGGAGGAATTTTTCAAGGATATTGACGTTAGATTTTTGTATTGTTTTTTTTGGGGGGGAATAAATTTGTTTTGTAATGTTTTTTTATTCGATTTGACATTATTTTTTTTTCGTGTGCATTTTTTTTTTTTTTGCGAAAGCATTTTCAGCGTAAAGGCAACACAACACAGAAACAAATTGTGAAGAAAAAAGAACAGAGAGAAAAAAACAAGAAAAGTGTCAGTTGTCATTTGAAACAGTGCATAACTTTCTTATTTGATTGGAAATTAAAAAAAGAACATGTGGAGTCTTCTTTTTTAGATTTATCATCATTTTCACCATTGTTCACTTCGCATGGAAATTTTGGCAATTTTTCCAATACAAGTCAAGGTGAATATGACTTTACAACAAGTTTCCATTTTTTTTTTACTTTTTTTTAACAAATTTTAATAAAATATATATTACAATAGTTTGTTTTTAAGGAGGGAATCTTCTCTCCGGTACTTACCACTAAAACATAAACTGATGATAACATAACTAATTAAGGCAATACCAATGAAACATATTATGCCGATGGTTAACTTTTTCATTAAATTCAGCAACTTCACCCGCCTGAAAGTAGACAACACATTATAATAATATGTATAGCATGAGTACAGTGAAGATCATAAGTAATGACATTTTTAATAAAATAGAGAGTAGTTTTGGTGTAAAATTTGTTTCTAGTGTTTGTAAAGATTGGAAAATAAGGCCAAAAAAAAAAAAAAAAAAAAAAAAAACAAAAGTCCAAAAGTCGGCTGGCCCGAATTTAGTAGAGCTCCACATAACATATTCAACATATAAAGATTTTATGGGAGAATTAATCATACACGCTATGAATATAAATATAATTTAAAGTTCAAAGGACTAAATATGCCGAAGCATTTGTATCTTTTTTTCAATTCGGACTTGTATTGCCCATTTGGTACAAAATTAATTTGAAATCAGATAAAGATATATATGGGAGCTATATCCAAATCTGAACCGATCTCGATAAAATTTGGCAAAGATATTTCTGAGCTGTATATCATTGTTACGGAGTGCATATTACGGCTGTGGGTAACAAATACAACAAATCGGATGAAGAATATAAATGGAAGCTATAGCTATATCTGAACCTATCTTCACCAAATTTGGCATACTAGTTTCTAGACTCAATTCGGTCGCATGAGCCAAATTCCATCCCATTTGGGCAAATATTATAGGTTTGGTGTACAATAAAAAGTAAATCGTACGAAGTTATGTATAGGAGCTATATCTAAATCTGAACCGATCTAGATAAAATTTAGTATGAGTCTTTCTGAGCTGCATTTGATATATTTCCCCAAATATTGTTGTTACAGAGTGCATATTACGGCTGCAGAGGACAAAAATAACAAATCGGATGAACAATATATATGGGAGCTATAACTATATCTAAACCGATTTCGATCAAATTTAGCATACTTATTTTCAGGCTGATATTACACGTTTGGTGCACAATTAAAGGCAAATCGGACGAAGATATATGTGGGACCTATGGGGTCCGTCCTTGAGCCAAACAAATGTTGTTTGGAAAATTTCATCTCAATCGGATAATAAATGCAACCTGCATTTTGTTCACAAGAAAACATGGACAGACGGACTGACACGCATAAATCAACTCAGAAAGTGATTTTATGGAGATCCTCAAAAGTAACTATGGGTCTATCTCGTTTCCTTCTCTATGTTACAAATAAATGCACAAAGACATAATACACTTACCACTATGTGGCGTAGGGTATAAAAACCTATTTAAAAAGTACAACTAATTAACCCCACCTTCCAATCAGAAGGACAACATTAAGAGAGGAAATTAATTACCCTTCGCCAAGCTGGTACAGGGATTTATGTATTTGTACATTTGTTTGTAGCAAACAGAAGGAAACGAAATAGGACCTTTGTAACCTTTGAAGATCATGATTGAATCACATTCTGAGTCGATTTATGGAAGTCTTTCCATCTGTCTGTCCATGATTTCTTGTGAACAAAGTTAAGGTCACATTTTTAGGCCGATTTAGATTAAACTGTGAACATGTAATTTTATTGACTCAAGGACGAATCCTATTGAAAATTCCGATATTGCCCCATATATGTCGTCATCCAATTTAATTTTTATTGTGGATTAAATGTATAATATTCGTCGTTGTCAAATTTGCTGAACATCGGTTCTATAGCTCTCATATATATTGTTCATCCAAATTTTATTTTTGCCTCCTTACAGTCGTAATATGCACTCCATAGCAACGATATTCGGGAAAATATATCAAATACAGCTCACAAAAACCGATTTGAAGATTATTGTCCACCAAATGGTTAATATAAGTCTAAATGTGGATGTGGATTTCGGGGCATACAACCGAATTCAGTCTGGAAGAAAGTATGTCAAATGTAACTAAAATTGGTTCAGATATAGCTACAGGTTCCACAAATATGTTCACCCGATTTAGTGTTTAAGTCCCACACATTCATAAAATGAACTCCCCAACACGATATTTTGATACAGCATAGAAATACCTCTGCTAAACTTAATGGAGATCGTTCCAGTTTTGGATATGGCTGTCATATAAATCTTCAACCGATTTCACGTTTACTGTGCACCACAAATGCTCAACTAAAATAGAATAAACTTGGAAAATCGGCTCAGACACAAATGCCTCCATTAAATTCTGTTGAAATCTTAAAAATACCGAATGTAGCCATTATATTTGGGTCTAAATGACCACGTGGGCCTGAATATGGAACATTTGTCATAAGCCTTAACAATATTAAAATGTGAAACTTAAAAAAAAATCGGTGAATAATGTAACTAGAATTCCGAAACGTGGACCTGCACGGAAACTTTCTGTCATAGGCTGTAGTATCCATTACGAACTTCAAATACCAGATTTGAAACAATTCTGGTGAATAATGTCGCTAAAATCATCAAAATGACGAATATCGAAGGGTGCCGTTATGTGGGAGCTATACAAAGGCGTGAACCTACACGGACAATTTTCTGTTTTAGGCTGTAGTATACATTACGAACTTCAAATACCAATTTTGAAACAACTCCGGTAAATAATGTCGCTAAAATCGTTAAACAGCCAATGAAACCGTCACACGCTGCCCGAATGTTGCTCTGCGGTATTTTAGCCCATTCCTGGCGAAGCGCTTGCTTGAGGTGATCGACACTTTGGTATTTTTTGGTGCCAATCTTGCTTTCCAAAATACTCCAGACACAATAGTCCAACGGATTAATATCCGGAGATTTTGGTGGCCATTGTGCGCTGGAAATGAAGCGAGGAACCTCATTTTGTAACCATTCTTGGGTGGCGCGTGCTGAGTGCGATGGTGCTGAGTCCTGTTGGAATGCCCAAGGTCTGCGGCCAAAATGTTTGCGTGGTCAAGGCCCTCCAGAATATTTTCGCGATAATATTAGGCATTTATTCTGATGCCACGGTCGATTTATACGAGCGAAAAGCGACCATCGGCTGTAATGGCAGCCCACACCATCACCATGGCTGGCGCTTGAGTAATGATGGCCAACCGAAGGTGCACATTTTCAGCTCACCTCTTTGGCAAGTGAACACGATAATTTTGTTTGTTTACAAACTGCTTGACAATGAATGTTTTCTCATCGGAGAAAACCAAATTCGGCGGTTCACCACTTTCGGCCAAGCGAAGCAACTCTTTAGCTCTTTTGAGTCGATTTTCTTTCTGTTGCGGTGTAAGTTCTTGCACTTTTTAGATTTCCAATGGCTTTACCCCGAGCTAATGTTTCAATATTTGCCGAATGGAATATTGCAATATGTTCAGCTCACGAGCCATTTTTCGGCCACTGAGACGCGGGTTTCGATCAAGTCGCTTCTTTACTTTTCGAACCATTTCTGCTGATTCTGCGAGCGATGGTACGAGACACAAAAGATTTATTCATATTTAAATGCTGGGGTTCTCTAACGATAGCCAGTTGTGGTTTTCCAGGCAAATATGAAAAATTCACACTATCGCGCTTGAAATACATCACGAATAACTTTTTTTCTAGAAATTTCTCACCAAAATGCTTATGTTCGCTTGTAAACAATATAATGAGCGGTCACTGGAATAATTTTAATAGCTGTCGGATGAGTGGCCAAGAAATGACAGCAGTCTGAAATTGGTTGCAGTTTTTTTCATCTCACCCTGAATATACTTTGTGGGGTCTAAAATATATGTTTCGAGGAGTTACAAACGGAATGACAAACTTTATATACCCTCCATATTATGGTGGAGGGTATAAAATGAATGAAATGAATTAATCTTAAGAAAATATCAATTAGAAAAAAAATCGCTACTTCAGCAAAATTGGTCCGCAACCTTGATTCTAAAGTCTAGATAGCAACTGACAGATGGTTTAAAGAAATTTGAAACATAAAAAATAGTGGGTGTACCGATCATTTTCTCTCCTGGTTCTGAGTCAATTTAGTTCAGTCTGTCCGTATGCCCAGTCTATCAGTATTATGAAATAATATCTCTAAATTAAGTGTAATATTTAGTTTTGAGGAGGGTAAGGAGGGTTTACCAAAAGGGTGATCCTTTTCCTATCTCGATGTAAATTTAACAAAAATATTAAGATGTGCAAAGTGTGGTCGATATCGGTGCTGTTGAAACGCCAAGTTAGACACAAATAAATAAATTTTTCAAATTCCTGATCTGCGTAAAATTCTATTCTACGTCCTCGCTGGAAATCACTCTAGCTTCCAAATGGTCAAAATTTGAAATAATCATAACTCTTAAAATATCCGATGGTTTTAAAACTTTGCACATCTCAATATTTTTGTCAACACAATATCTGGTGCAAAGAAGTGATATAGCGGACCATTTCTTCTGGTATCTCCTCATCCACAAATTGTTGAACTTTTGAGTAACCTGACGGTGAGAAAATGCGAAATGTGTATACGATTATTTTCGAATTTCGCACAACATAAAAAATCTAGAAATCAAAGATTTGGGTTACAGCTAGAAACTCCTTCTGGTACAAAAGGTAAAATTTCTGAATAAAAAAGTCAATATTTCATGGGAGTTTCGGCCCACTCCCTCTGACTCCTCAAATAAGAAGGGGTTAAAATTGTATATAAACTAGAATAGATAGAACTTTTATTAAATTCAAATAAATTTTCAGATTTCCAATAAATAACCAGATTTTTGTAGAATCAGATCAGGTTTGAAATTTCCTCAAAAATATATTCCCCACTGAATCACCAAATTATAAAAACTCTTTCAATTTAGTACTAAATTTTTTTGGGTATATCGTTAATAGGGTTATTAAAGAGGGTAGTTTTATAAAAATCTACATTCTGTGACACTGTACAACATTAAATCTGAATATTTTAAAATTGCATTTCTTTCGAAACCACCAGACCTTAGGCCATTAAAAAATCAAAACACAATCTGACAACTGAGTACTCATTAAAACTAAAACAGTCGCATCTGATTATTCGAATAACACCTCACACAGCACTTCCACTCCTATTAAATTTCACTTTGTTCTGTACCTTCAATGAGTTATCTCTCCCCTTCTGGCGATAAACAAACTATCCACGATGCCACTACTTATGACCATGAGTGTTGAGTGGAAATCTTTGATACAAAATGTAATGTACATACCTCAGTTCTCGTCTCGCCTCCTCCGCTGTCGCTGTGTCATGGATAAATTCACCGCCATTTTTCTCTTCATCATCGACTCCTGACTTGAGAGGAATTTTGTTCATAGCATCATCGTTATTGCTTAGACCCATTTTTAAGCCATCAGCAGCAGCCCTGAAACGAAAGCACAGAAGAAGAAATAAAACAACAACAACAAAAATTATTAATATTTTTATGGCTCCCCAAGGTATGCAACATTAACTTATTTAAAATGAATTTACGGTATACCGTTATGTTAGCTCAGTTGGGTGGGCGGGTGTTGTGGGCGTGTAGAACGAGTGTGGGTGACTGTATGCGTACAAGTTCCTGTGTATATATGCTTTATTCACTATCCGTTTGCTATCCTCTCTGTGAGCGTGTATCACTACCACACCGGCCTTCTGTCAAATGCATACTGACCATAGATTGCATCGTTTGTCGTTTGCTTAGTTAGTCTGTTTTGGTTACACGGTCTGTCGGTTAGGTGTATATCGTCGTGTGAATTCTTTTTTTCCCAGCCGACGAAGACGACCAGCGCTGCTACACCAACGGGTATCGTCGTCTTTTATGTCATTTACACCCGTTGCGGGTGTTTATGTCTGTATTCTTGTCGTTATTTTTGATAGTTTGTATGCGTTATTCCTGCTGTCTGTGTATGGGTGTATGCATAAGCAGGATTGCCAAATTGGAAATCATATCCGCATGCTATAGCAGAGCCTTCTGCTATACTATAGCAGACACTTCTGCTATGCTATAGCAGACACTTCTGCTATGCTATAGCAGAGCCTTTTGCTATGCTATAGCAGACACTTCTGCTATGCTATAGCAGAGCCTTTTGCTATGCTATAGCAAAGCCTTTTGCTATGCTATAGCAGAGCCTTCTGCTATGCTATAGCAGAGCCTTCTGCTATGCTATAGCAGAGCCTTCTGCTATGCTACAGCAGAGCCTTCTGCTATGCTATAGCAGAGCCTTCTGCTATGCTATAGCAGAGCCTTCTGCTATGCTATAGCAGAGCCTTCTGCTATGCTATAGCAGAGCCTTCTGCTATGCTATAGCAGAGCCTCTGCTATGCTATAGCAGAGCCTTCTGCTATGCTATAGCAGAGACTTCTGCTATGCTATAGCAGAGCCTTCTGCTATGCTATAGCAGAGCCTTCTGCTATGCTATAGCAGAGCCTTCTGCTATGCTATAGCAGAGCCTTCTGCTATGCTATAGCAGAGCCTTCTGCTATGCTATAGTAGATCCATTCTGCTATGCTATAGCAGATCCATTCTGCTATGCTATAGCAGATCCATTCTGCTATGCTATAGCAGATCCATTCTGCTATGCTATAGCAGATCCATTCTGCTATGCTATAGCAGATCCATTCTGCTATGCTATAGCAGATCCATTCTGCTATGCTATAGCAGATCCATTCTGCTATGCTATAGCAGATCCATTCTGTTGTGCTATAGCAGAGCCTTCTGCTATGCTATAGCAGACTCTTCTGCTATGCTATAGCAGACCCTTCTGCTATGCTATAGCAGACTCTTCTGCTATGCTATTCTATTGTAGATCCGTCTGATATTCTATATATTCGCCATTTCATCCGGCCATATGCCATGCTTTGCTATAAAATTTTCTGTGCAATGGCAACCCTATTGTCATAATCTGTTATTTTATGAAACTATTACGGGGCATATGTTTCCTTCGACACGTACACGTGGGCACTTTTATTCCACAATAATTGTTCAAAAAAAACAGGGAAAGCATTTAAATGTGTGTCTCCTTGTGTGTTTGTGAACATGTGTGTATGTATGTGTAAATGTTCTTTGATGGTGTCGCCAATGTTGTTGACGACAATGATGGGGCATTCATTGGTACCGCCAGTGGCAACGTTTTCCAACGGGTCTGGGAAAGACAACATTGTTAGCAATTGCAGCAGGCCCAGAACAATGTTTGCCATTGCAAAAATGACTTCCTGTCATAAAGGACGAAAAATAACACCAGCACTTTTGCTGAACGGTCTCTGAGTGGCCAAATTACTGACTGGCTGACTGACTTACTTGTATGGTGGACTTCCAAACGCCACAACCATTGTCTGCCAACATAAACATTAAAACGCAACCCAGCAATTTGTTTTAAATGCATTGCCCTCAAAAAAAAAGAAAAAAAAAACGCCATCAAAATGTTAACACAATTTGAGAATAGAATGTTTGGGCCATGGTTCCACTGAAATGGGTCACATAGTAACATGCAAATTACACCAAAGAGGAAGGCGAAAAACCGACGTGGTGGTGATGGTGGTTCATTAAAAACAAAAATGTATCCACAAATAAACATGCACTTTCGCTTCGGTCGGTCGGTCTGTGCCTCGGGGCATAGACGCCTAGCATCAGCACAACTTTCTCTCCATGTTTTTTTTTTTTGTTCGTTCAGTGAAACAACATAAAAATTCTTCGAATAAATGCATTTAAATTTTGTACGCGATTTCTTTTTTCAAGTACTGTAATAAAGTGCACGCTAAAGGACCTCGTTAATTTTTCGATGCACGTAAAAGGGTGTTTCTCGGAAAAGGAGCGTGTAATGAAAAATCTAGTTTAGTAGGACGAAGTTGTTAAGCAAGGAAAGAATGTATTTTAAAATAATTCGTAATAATTAGTTTTTTGTAAAAACAAAAAAGAAACTAGGCGAAGTGGCTTTTTAATAATCCTTAAAATGAGGAATTTGTAAAGAGAACTAATACTAAGAAGAATTAACACTGAATTTTCTTGAGAAAAAACACTGAGTTCTTTCGAAAATCCTTCAAAAATATTTTTAATGAAAATTTCAGGAAAATTCCTGAATGACATTCAATAGATGACAGCTTGAAAGAAAGTACACAAGCACTGAGCATGAAAAAAATCCTAAATTTTTGGCGGACAATTCTTGAAAATCTTATTTTCTTCAAATTTTGGAGCAGGAACTAATTTCAAAAAATCACAAAAAAATTTTTTTCCCAAGAACTCATTAAAAAATTGTTTTGAAAATAAAACATATTTTTTTATGTTTTTTTTCGTAAAATATCATAGATTTCCTTTATTACAGTAAAAAAAAAAACAATCCTACAAAATTCAAGATTTTTGCCAGGTTTCCTAGACAGATTATTTTTCAAAAAATTGTGGAATTTTTCCATAAGTTCCTTTAGAATGTTGTAACAAATTCCACAATACCACAAATGCCTTAACCTGAAAAATACATTTTTAGGCATAAAGTCGCTTACAATAATTCTTGTAATATCCAAGATTTCTGCAATGAAAGTCCTTGAAAATTCAAATCAATTAAGATGTCGATTTTTTTTTGCAGGGAGTCCTTAATATTGACAAAATTGACAATTTTTGGCAATCAAGTCATGCAAATATTAAGTCATACAAAGTAAATGATTTGTTGCAGGAAGTCCGGGAAACATATAGTTAAAAAATTCATCAATTCCCAGAAAGTCGGTAAAAATATTTCTTAAAAATCAACAATCAAACATACATATATTTTTATTTATTCCCGGAAAATTTTACGGTTTTCTTCTTGAAAAATAATATTTAAAAACATTAATTTTCACCACGAAGTTATTAAAAAGGGTTTTCAAAATCCACATTTTTGAACATGAAGTCCCTGAAATATATGTCTTAAAAATTTCCAGGATCCTCGGTCAGGAATTTCTTGCAATATACTTTTTAGAAAACTTATTCACGATTACTAAATCCTCACTTTTTTAAATATTTTGAAAGACTCACGATTCCTTCATCAATTTTTTCCAGGACGATTCAAAAAAACCAAAGCTCCTTTGCAAATTTTGAAAACGTATTTTAAAATATCCATGATTCTTGACCAGTAAATTCTTGAAAAAAATTTAATATATTGAGACCTATATGACTCTTGATTTGAAGTACTTGACTATTTTTTTAAAGAAAACCCTTAGAAAATTAAAAAAATAGGCTTCTTTATAAAAGTTTGTCAAAGAAATCACGATTCGTGGTTGTGAAGTCTTAGAAAACATTTAAAAATCAACGAGTTTTTGTCAGGAAGACCTTGGTTTTCGTTTTTTTTAATTTTCGATTCTTGGCCAGAAGTTCTTAAAACCAGCCCATGATTTTGGCCAGTAATTTCATATATTTATTTTAAATATTGTTGAAACTCCACAGTTCTTGTCCAGGTAGTCCCAGAAAAAGCTTAAATATTTCATGATTTTTGGCGTAGAAAAATACAACCAAAATCCTGAGCCGGTATTTTTTTTTAAATTTACGATTCTTAGCCAGAAAGACCTTGTAAAACATTTTTTCAAATCTCACGAATCTTGGGTAAGAAGTCGTTGAAAAATATTAAATCCACAATTTGACGAGAAAGTCCTCAAAATATTTAAAAAATAAAATCCACTATTCATGGCCAAGTTGTGTTTGAAAACTATTTTTAGAAATTCTCGATTCTTGGCCAGAAAGTACTTGAAAATTGTTTTTAAAAAATCCAGTTTCTGAAATCTAAAAAAAAATAATTATAAAAAAATCACGATAAGAGTTCAAAAAGCTCTTTAAAAAATATTTTTGAAAAATCTACAAATTTTTGGTCTGCTAGATAAAGCGGCGCCTATTACGAACTCTTAATACCACACTTGACAAATGTAGCTAAAAAAAAAATACCGAATATAGGGTGGTACCATTAGATGGGTGATATACGAAGGTGTGGATCTGTACAGGAAATTTCCCGTCATAGGATGTAGTACCCATTACGAACTACAAATACGAAATTGTAAACAATTCCGGTGTAAAGTGTGGCACAAATCGTTAAAATTCCGAATATTTGGTGGTACAGATATATGGGGGCTATACCACAGCGTAGGTTCACGTAGGGAGCCCATTATCATTACAGAAAGTTTTTCAGACCTGAAACACATCTGAATAAAATTTTATCAACCTACTTTATTCGGTTCGGAAGATAGAGTAATCTCCACAGACGGATAGACAGACGACGGTGTAAGGGTATAAGGGGGGTGCCAACTATCGCGGATTGATATTGCTCATCTTTGAACTTGATCCAAGTTTGGTCAAAATATCATGATGTACCATGTGTGCACCAAATCGGAAACTTCCTACGAAACTTATCTTATGTACCAGTCAGATATATA